GCGAGGACCGGTCTGGATCTGGTACTGACAGGGCCCGCCTCCAGAACCACCACCCGGTGCACCACCACGCGCACGACCACCACCAGCTCCAGGCCACCCAGGCGGGAGAGCACTCGCCGGCCTCGTCTGCGGCGGCTGCTGCGGCTGCTGCGGAGGCTGCTGCTGCTGCGGCTGCTGCAACGGTGGAGGCAGCGGGGCAGCTGGACCGGGCAGGGTCCCCACGTCCGCACCGGCACCGGACGACCCGCCTCCACCACTACCCCACCCGCACCCCCGCCACCTCCGCCGCTCCCAACCTTGGGGCGGCGGCCCTTCCCCGAGCGGGACTGCACTGCAGCAGCAGTCTCAGCCACAGCGACAGAGCCGTCGGAGAAGGTACACTGAGCGGGGGCACAACCCTGAAAGATAGGGACCGGTACTGTACCGCTCGCCTGGGCTATGGAGCGGTGACGAGTCTCTATGGCAGTCAGGGTGTCAACAAAGTCGGTGAGGGTGAGAGCAGCAGGGTGGATGCTAAGGAACTGGTCGCGGGCGGCGGCAAGGCGGTCAGGGAGGCGGGTGGCAAGGAGGTAGAGGGTAGAGGTCATGGGAGGCTGGTGGACTCTAAGCTGTGCATCAGTGCAGGCAGCGCGCCAGGCCTCATCTATCGAGCGCAGGTGGGCAGCGAGGTCAGAGACAGTGGGGAAGGACGCCAGGTCAGGAAAGAGCAGGGGGAGGATCAGGCGACCCACTGAGGCAGCAGGAGGGGTAGAATAGCGCTTGATGACAGCATCGAGGTAGGCCTGGGCGGTAGTAATGGTTCTAAAGCGAGGGCGCTCAAGGGGGGGGAGGGCATTGCTAATGGCGAGCTGAGCAAGGGCATCGCGGGAAAGCCAGACAGAGCGGGCAAGGGCAGCGGCGGCAGTGGACTCGCGCTCAGCGGGCGTGGGATCAGCAGGCAGCACAGCAGGGGGGTCAGGGCAGGGGAGCATACCGTCTAGGTGTGCAGAAAGCGGGTGGCCGTCCTGCCGCTGACCAGTGAGGTGGCGGCGAAGGTCAGCCAACCACGCCTCGAACTCCAGAGGCTGACCCTCAGCATCAAAACGAAGCTCAGCAGCCATGAGGGGCAGTGGAGGACAGTGGAGTGCGGTGTAGTGCTGTGCAGTGCGGTGCAGGGCGGTGCAGTGCGGTCCAGTGCGGTGCAGTGCGATGCAGTGCGGTGCAGTGCGGTTCAGTGCGGTGCAGTGCGGTCAGTGCGGTTCAGTGAGGTGCAATGCGGTGCAAGGCGGGGCAGGAAAGTGCAGGAGGGTGCAAAGTGGTGCGGGGAACGGGGGACAGTACCAGGAAGTATGGAGGGCCGGGGCAGGCGCGACGGGGCCGGGCAGGCGCGACGGGGCCGGGCAGGCACGTCGAGGCCGGGCAGGCGCGACGGGGCCGGGCAGGCGCGACGAGGGGCCGGGCGGCTGCGACGGGGCCGGGCGGCAGCGACGAGGCCGGGCGGCTGCGACGGGGCCGGGCGGCTGCGACGGGGCTGGGCGGCTGCGACGGGGCCGGGCGGCTGCGACGGGGCCGGGCGGCAGCGACAAGGCCGGGCGGCAGCTACGAGGCCGGGCGGCAGCGACAGGGCCGGGCGGCAGCTACGAGGCCGGGCGGCAGCGACAGGGCCGGGCGGCAGCGATGGGGCCGGGCAGGACACAGCAGGGCCGGGCGGGGGCGACGGGGCCGGGCGGGCGCGACGGGGCCGGGCAGGTGCGACAGGGGCCGGGCAGCTGCGACAGGGGCAGGGCGGGCGCCACGGGGCCGAGAGGCCGCGACAGGGCCGAGCTGGGGCGACGGGGCCGAGCAGGGGCGACGGGGCCGAGCAGGGGCGACGGGGCCCAGGAGGGTGGATACGGGGCCCAGGGAGGAGCGCGGCAGGGCCCAGGAGGGGCGCAACAGGCCCAGGAGGGGCGCTACGGGCCCAGGAGGGGCGCAATGGGGGCCCAGGAGGGGCGCGGCGGGGCCCAGGAGGGGCGCAATGGGGGGCTCAGGAGGGGTGCTACGGGCCCAGGAGGGGCACTACGGGCCTAGGAGGGGCGCGACGGGGCCTGGGAGGGGCACGACGGGGCCCAGGAGGGGCGCTACAGGGCCCAGGGAGGGCGCGACGGGTCCCAGTAGGGGCGCTACGGAGCCCAGGAGGGGCGCGACGGGGCCTGGGAGGGGCGTTACGAAGCCCAGGAGGGGCGCTACGAAGCCCAGGAGGGGCGCGACGAGGCCCAGGAGGGGCGCTACGGGGCGCTACGGGGCCTGTGAGGAGCGCGACGGGGCCCAGGAGGGGCGCTAAGGGGCGCGACGGGGCCCTGGAGGGGCGCTACGGGGCCCAGGAGGGGCGCGAAGGGGCGCGACGGGGCCCTGGAGGGGTGCTACGGGGCCCAGGAGGGGCGCTAGGGGGCGCGACGGGGCCCTGGAGGGGCGCTACAGAGCCCTGGAGGGGCGCGACGGGGGCCTGGAGGGGCGTTACGACTGGGCTCAGGAGGGGCGAGGCGAGGCTAGGAGACGCGACGGGAGGAGCGGAAGCGGTAGGTGGGGGGGGGGGGGGGGGGGGGGGGGGGTCGAAACCTACTCGTGATACCATATCAAACCTAGAATTTAATAATATGAGAGAGAGAGTACACAAACATATACCTAAATGTTGTACTCTCTAGAAGGTGACCCTATACAGTCTATACAAACATGATAACTACACATGTTTGACACTGATGACTTGCACTCGCCCAGATCTCGCATACCCTCTCAGCATCCTGGCTCGCTTTGTGGCCACAGGCAGACACCGACCGCAGCACTGGTCTGCCACTAAGTGAGTTTTGCGTTATCTTGCTAGTACATCGGGCATGGGGTTAGTGCTAGGAGGACGCAGGTCAGTGGTCCTTACTAGACACACAGACGCTTCGTGGGCAGACGATGCCGAGACACTCAGGTCTACCCAGGGCTACTGCTTTAGCCTTGGCTCAGGTGCCGTCTCGTGGAGAGCTACCCGCTCCTCGTCTGTTGCCCAGTCCAGCTGTGAGGCTGAGATCTACGCTGGTGCCATGGCGGCATAAGAGCTCCGCTGGCTGACCTTCTTGCTCACTGACTTAGGTGAGCGGCCTAGCTCTGCCCCGGTCCTGTTCGCTGACAACAGGGCCATGATCCTCCTGTGTCAGGTGTTAAAATTATATAAGTTATAATTTAATATAGGCTTGGTAGGTTGTTACTGAACCTTTCTGTAGGGGGTACAAACCCCTCCTTGTACTCCCCTCTCTTCCTAATCGATCTTCTTCTTTCTCGTCACTTTTGCCTACCCCTAGATAAACTTCTCCTCACGATATTTCATGGCGTCACTTCTAGTATCCTAGCCTACCTAGCCTCCTAAGTTTAAGAGGCTCGTGTCCTAAGTTTCTAAGATGGTATCAGAGCCGGTCGTGTCCACCGGACCCTCTCCCTACGTTCCCGTTGCGTACTCCTGCTGCATTCGCAGCCTTCGCGGTTTTCTGCCTGCCTGCCGTCGCGACGCCAGGATGTCGCGTCGGCCCCTTGTTACCTGCCGTCGCGGCACCAAGGTGTCGCGACGGCCCCTGGTTGCCCGCCGTCGCGGCACCAAGGTGTCGCGACGGCCCCTCGTTGCCTGCCGTCGCGGCGCCAAGGTGTCGCGACGGCCCCTTGGTGCAGCCGTCGCCCGTCCGCCTCACCGCTGCGACATTGACGGTGCGCTGCGGCGGCGTCTACGGCAGTCGACGGCATCGTCGGGCTGCGGCCGGCCGAGCAACGTCTGTGGCGTCGCCGGGCCTGCCGCCCGCTCGCCAGCTACGGGCGTCCCTCAGGACGACGTCCTCCCGCCAGTAAGCGCCGCGCCATTTATGGCGCGTCGCTGAAGACTCGCCCCGCCCCCCCCCCCCCCCCCCCCATTCTCCCTTCCCCCTGCGTCTTCCCCTCCTCCTGTCGCAGCTGCTGTCTTCTGCCCGGACGTTGCCACATCACCGAGAGCCCTCAGCCGCGGCGGTCGCCGCCTGTTGTCGGCGACCCAGCCGCCTTGAGCCAGAGCTCCGCCGCTGCTTGTCGCTGACCCGCCCAGACGCCGTAGGCTGCCTCGTGTACGGGGGTGTGTCAACGCTTTGCACGAGGGTCAGATACCCGGCTAAGCACGAGCTTGAGGGTGTGCGGGGTTAGGGGGTGGGTTGGGTGGGTGTGCGACTACCAAGCCTAGGGGGTGTGTTAAAATTATATAAGTTATAATTTAATATAGGCTTGGTAGGTTGTTACTGAACCTTTCTGTAGGGGGTACAAACCCCTCCTTGTACTCCCCTCTCTTCCTAATCGATCTTCTTCTTTCTCGTCACTTTTGCCTACCCCTAGATAAACTTCTCCTCACGATATTTCATGGCGTCACTTCTAGTATCCTAGCCTACCTAGCCTCCTAAGTTTAAGAGGCTCGTGTCCTAAGTTTCTAAGATCAGGAGCCTCGACTCGAGGGCAGAGCAAAGCACATTCAGCTGCGGTACTTCCTCCTGCGTGAGCTACAGCAGCGACGTCAGGCTTGCGTAGTACACTTGGCCTCAGGTGCCAACACGGCTGATATCTTTACGAAGGCGCTTGCGCCTAAAGATCATCAGCGGCACTGTGTACAGCTTGGTCTAGTTCCTGTAGCCTCTCACTTGCTAGGACCTTGATTTTGTACTGTCCTTTATATGTATACTCAGACTGGACTTGTGTCCTCTCCTAGTGGCTGGACTAGTAGTGCTGCCCTGCTCTTGTTCTTGCCTTGTTTGTACTCCTTCTGACTGGTCTCTCAGACCCTTGTCTCAGAGGTTGGACTAGGAGTACCGCCCTGAGCTGTTTGTTTAGGGCATTCCCCTATGCAGTCTAGGGGGTGTGTCAAACATGTGTATTTGTCATGTTTATATAGACTGTATAGGGTCACCTCTTAGAGAGTACAACAGGTAGGTATATCTGTGTGTTGTCTTACTCTATTTAACATTCACTTCTCAATTTTGATTGTAGGTTGGAAGGTAGGAAGACTGCCTAGATTAAAGAAAGTCAACCAAAGGTTAAAGACAAGGTCAGACACTGACTGACCAGTAATAATATGGAAACACACGCTGGCAAAACGTGCTAGATGCCTATCCCGCCCGCACCATGTTGATTTACACAGGAATGAATGAGGAGGTTATCTACGTCTGTCATGCACGTGGGTCACTAGACGTGGCGGAATCAGAAGAATGCATCAAACTGCGACTTGTCAAGGTTGTCGAAGTAACGATGCTGAAGAGCGTCCTTCGCTGTGATCCTTTTGGCCGGATCATATTCCAAGCATTGCTGCAAGAAAGCACGGAACCGATAAGGAAATGGATCCAAAAATTCACTAAGAAATTTCTCACAACGCGACGCTTACCTTCAAAAGATCAACTCCGCTCTCGTCCAACTCTGGCACAAATCGAGCAAGGTTCTGCGCACTCCACTGGGGGAACTCGTGCCAGTCTCGGTGATTGGAGACGCCAGGCCAGATGTTCTCGTTGGGCGTTCCAAGCATCCTGAACAGTCGGGTACGTGTGATGTTGGTCAGTCGCGCATGTCAAAACATGTGTAACTTTCGACAAGATGAGTGTCCACTCACTTGAAGATGTGAAGCAGCTGTTGCAACTCTGAATCGCCTGGGAAGAGCGGCACCTTGTGCGCCATCTCCGCTGAAACCAGCGCAAAGAAACGATTAGCTTCGGAAGATGAGCGAGGTGGAAAAGGATCACTAACAAACACTACTTACCAAATATGCAGCCAACCGACCACATATCCACGGGAGTTGAATAGTGGGTTGCGCCAAGAAGTACCTCTGGAGCTCGGTACCAGAGAGTTACAATCTGCAATCAGCAACAGTAAATCAGTACGATGTGCTATTCGCTAAGCGTTGTTATCATAATTGAAATACAGCAATTTCATTACCTCGTGTGTGTAGCTCTTGATAGGAACGGTGAATGCGCGGCCCAATCCGAGATCAGCGATTTTCACCAACCTCCGTTCTTTGTCGACGAGAAGATTCTGCGGCTTAAGGTCTCTGCATGTTCAGAACGACATGTTAGTTTCAATGGAAAGATTTATCAAGGGGAAGAAGCGTTTACTGCTCAAGCCTCACCTGTGCATAACTCCATGGCTGTGGCAGTGCGCAACCCCTATGAGGAGTTGATACATAAAGTTCTGCAGTCAAGTCGAGGAAACTGTCAGTAACATACCTTCACCAGGTCAAGGTGACAATGATGACAAAGCTACACACCTGCACAATCTTAGGGTCCAACGGGTGGCTTGGGCCCTTTCCATTCGCATCCATGTACTTCTTGAGATCGGTGTCCAGGTACTCGAAAACCAGGTACAGCATGGGCTTGTTGTACTCGGTGATGTGCTCGACATTGAGTAATCTGGGAAAGAAAACGAAAAATAGGATGAGGTCGAAACTAAGAATAGACGCTGGTCGGAAGAGTTTGATGGGACCGGCTATGTTCTTACCGTACGACATGTACGCTCTTCGAAAGCATTTGCAAAAGAGAAACTTCACGAAGGGTTGTCGACGGGACGCCTTCTTCCTCCATCTCCAGGCGAGTCTTCTTCAAAGCTACTGTCTTGCCAGTCTTCTTGCATTTCGCCTTGTAGACCTTGCCATAGGTACCTTCGCCTACTTTCTCAAGCTTCTCGTAGTCCTCCATGGAAATCTGCTGTCACGAAAACGAAAGGTGCGGAGGCTGGTTCTACAAATCTGGTAGGAGGACGTGAAGACACGACCGGATAGGCCGAAATGGCTAAGCAGGGGAACTGAGTTGAAGAAAGCCAAACAAGGGGTGGCCTTATGGCAGTCTCCGAGCCACACCTTGGGGAAAGGGAGATTCGAAAAAACGCGGGACTCTGTCAGTGACAGGGTGCGTCTGTTGTGTTGACTGGAGTCGCGACAGAAGATGGGCGGGAGGGAGCTGCTGCTGACGAAACAGAATTTCGAAGGGGTCAGAGAAGTCTTCAAACGAGTGCGGTTGTAAGGGCTGATCGATAACGGACCTCAGCGTGCGAGAACTCCCCCATGGTAAACATAAATACAACAAAATACACCTGAGAGCAGTAATATTAAACCTTTCTATGCTATGCCAAGATAGACAGAAAATCGTTACAATCCAATCCGTATCCATCAATTCCTTATACAATCAATATTAAATATCATGAAAACTTCTCACCTATGCATTTTCCTTGAAAAACATGATCTATCAATGGCTATGTCAATCAGATCAACATGATTTTTATCACATATTGCAAATTGCTCAATTCATGCACAATTGGCTAATACAATCTATGTCAAACATATATGATTGGTGTACGATAATCCACCGTATATAGGAGCATATGTGGTTATAGTGGACCCCTTTTCAAATTCATCTTCACTTATGATTCAATGGAGTTTATAAGCTCATGCGCTAAATAAAAGAATTGAATTTGAAGGCATGAAATGGTAGCTCTGTCGATTTGTGTTCGAATGTCACAATCTCAAAAGGGGGTCGTATTGAAAGATGGTTTGGAATCTATTGAAATTAACGAATGAATAGAACTATGGAATACAATGCAATACCACCTAGTGGGTTATACTCTCTAAGGCACAACCCTGTATAGTATATAACAACATACAAAGATATATTTGACACACCCCAAGACTGGATAGGGGCAGTGCCTGATGAGAGACAAGCAGCTCAGGGTGGCACTACTAGTCTAGCCTCTGAGACAAGGGTCCAAAGACTAGTCAAACGAGTACAAACAAGGCAAAAGCAAAACCAGGGCGGCACTACTAGTCCAACCACTGGGAAGGGGCCACAAGGCCAGTCAGGGTAATATACAGTGACGGAATTAATTGGGCTAGAAAAGGTACACTAGTCAAAAGATTTTGTATTTTCAGCATCTATCATGTACATTTATCCCCAATTACCAATTGTACCATGTGAACTAGGAGTGAAGCATCCTTATGCTGTATGTTACTGTACGTTTTATCGAACTGCTTATAGTGAGTCCACCACTTTGCTAGCGAGACTCGATGCGGACAATTAGCTCCCGATTCTAGTCTAGGTCTATTTTCTCTCGGCATTTCGCGAGCTCGCAAACCTAGCCTCGTCTTTATCGACGGCATACCGTGAACCCCGCCAGGCTCATAGCAACGATGCGGCCTCTTGCTTCACGCCAGAAAGATAGGATCGCGACCTTGCTTCGACGCGGTCATAGCTTCCGTCAGATCGCTAGAATGCTAGGGATAGGGAAGAGCACAGTTCAGAAATACGCTCAAGAGGCCTCTCAGCGCACCAGCAGCCTAGCGGTTAGGCCAACAGTCCCGAGGTCTGGCCGGCCACGCCTACTCTCAGTACGTGACAGGCGCATCCTTGTTCGCGCTGTGACTTCAGGCGAGGTGAAGACTAGCGTAGAAGCCGCAAAGCTACTGGAAACAGACCACGGCATTAAGATCTTCCCCAGAGCAGTCCGCAACGCCCTCAAACTGTCTGGCCTAGTCGTCGTCCAGCAACCGAAGAAGCCACGTCTCTCCGCTCGTAACATCAGAGACACACTGGATTTCGCCAAGGCCCACGTTGACTGGACCGTGGACGACTGGAAGCGGGTGGTCTGGTCTGATGAGACCAAGATCAACCGTTTCTGTAGTGACGGCCGGTCGTATGCATGGATTCGCGGCGGGGCGGCTCTTCAAGGGCAACACATAAAACAAACAGTAAAGCATGGGGGTGGGTCAGTCATGATATGGGGGTGTATGACGTATGATGGCCCTGGATACATGTGTAAAATTGACGGTTGTATGGACGGGCAGCTGTATCGAAGCATCTTGCAGGATGAGCTTGCACAAACCATTGACTTTTATGACCTTAATACCTCTGATGTCATTTTCCAGCATGACAATGACCCCAAGCACAAGTCCCGCCTTGTGCAAGAGTGGTTGTCCGAGCAGGAATATTCAGTCCTGCTGTGGCCCTCTTCATCCCCAGATCTCAACCCCATCGAGCACTTGTGGGCCCATCTCAAACGCGAGCTGTCCAAGTATGAGCACCCCCCCTCAGGAATGCTCCAGACTTGGGAGCGGATTCAAGAGATCTGGGAGGGGATAGATGCTGATGTGTGCAGGGGGCTCATTGATAGTATGCCTAGGAGGGTGAAGGCGGTGGTCAGGGCTAAGGGAAAATGGACTAGGTACTGATTTCAAGTGTGTCTTTTGCATAGTTTGAACATGGCACAAACTGTCCAAGTGTACTTGTGTGTGTATGGATTTTGCCCAGGCACATTATACTGTATTTTCAGGGCTAGTTCCCACATGACAGTCTTGTATAGGCATATGTCTAACTCTTCCTTAAAACCAGGCAATTAATAAGCTGCATCTCTAAACACTACACACGATTATTCGCCTACACAGGCTGAGATATGGACAATTTCTTCCATCGCTGTATATATATATATCAAGGTCTGTACACAATCAAGGTCCAAGCAAATGAGAGGCTACAGGAATGAGACCAAGCTGTACACAATGCCGATGATAGATCTTTAGGCGCAAGCGCCTTCCTAACGATATCAGCTGTGTCGGCACCTTCAGTGTACTACGTGTGCCTAGCGACGCTGCTGTAGCTCACGCATGAGGAAGTACCACAGCTGGATGTGCTTCGCACTTCCCTCGAGTCTAGGCTCCTGACACAGGAGGATTATGGCCTTGTTGTCAGCATACAGTACCCGGGCAGAGCTAGGCCGCTCACCTAAGTCTGTGAGCAAGAAAGTTAGCCAGCGGAGCTCCTGTGCCGCCATGGCGCCGGCGTAGATCTCAGCCTCACAGCTAGACTGGGCAACAGACGACGATCGGGTGGACCGCCACGAGACAGCACGTGCACCAAGTAAAACGAAGTAGCCCTGGGAGGACCTGAGAGTCTGGGCGCCGTCTGCCCAAGAAGCGTCTATGTGCACGGTATGGACCACTGGTCTGCGTCCTCCTGGCACTAGCCCCATGCCTGATGTACTTGCTAGATAACGCAAAACCCTCTTAGCTGCCGACCAGTGCTGTGGTCGGTGTCTGCAGGTGGCCACAAAGCGAGCCAGGGTGATGGTGTGCGCTGCTCTGTCCCTGGAGATGTGCAAGCCAAGGTAGCGACGCAACTCTCCTAGGTCAGTGCATGTGTGTCTCCTCAGCAGCTCGCCCTTCACGGAGGCCAGTGCATCTCTGTCTGAAGTAGCAAAAACCAGGTTGTCTACGTAGACCATGATGTAAAACGGAGTCTGGTAGGAAAGGACGAAGAGCAAGGGGTCTGCAGACGACGGAAAGAACTGCAGGTCAGCAAGTGTAGCACGCAGCGTGTCGTGCCACTCATGGGGCGCATGGCGCAGGCCGTAGACGGGGCGCCGGAGGAGCCACTCAGTCCCAGGGGGAAAGGTACCGGAGAAGCGCTAGGGGCGGCGCAGGTAGACGTGATCGTGTAGACTGCCTTGAAGGAAAGCTTTGGAGAAGTCAAGGGACTGCAGCTCGTAGTCACGCTGTGCTGCTACGTCTAGTAGTGCCCGAAGAGTAGTCGTCTTCGGGGTCGGGGCGAAGGTCTGAAAGAAGTCCACTCCCTCACGTTGACTGAGGCCTCGAGCAGTGTAGCGCAACTTGAAGACAGTCCGCTCTCCAGGAGGGCGTTTCACCTTGAAGAGCCATCGGTCATCGAGTACGTTCACCACAGGTGGGGGAACTGCGTGGACGAAGGTCCTGGTGGATCTCCAAGATGCCATCTCCTGCTCCATGGCAGCTATCCACTGAGAGAGGTGGCCTCAGCGTAGGTGCGAGGGGTCGGGATGTCAAGGGCGTCTGGGTCACTCTCTGGACTACTAGCATGGAACAGAGATGGGGAGCGTCCTCAGACAAGAAAGCGAGTTCGTACTGCTTGTTCTCTACGACGTCACTGCCAAGAGCAGCCACACCCCCGACGGACGGAGGGCAGGCTGGTTCAGAGACCAGAGCGGTGGCGTAGTAAAGGCGGCGGGTAGCGTCGAAGTCAGTGACAGCAGCGACAAGAGCCGACAAACTCGAGACAAGAAAGGACGTGTCAGTAATATGAGAGACAAGGACACGAGGAACAAGGGGACGCGCAGCACGGAGGAAGTCAGAGAACGGAGGCGGGGCCGCAACAAATGACGCCGGTGGAGCACACGGGAGGAGCGGAGGAGCACGAGACGTGTGGGAGCAAAGCAACATAGGGTGAGACCGCTGAACAGGGGCGGTTAGGACGAGCACGAGACGGACGACGAGAACAGACGTGATTCGGAGGAGTCGGGTCGGGAGTGAGGGGGGGAGACACAGGAGGAGAACGGGGAGGGAAACGAGTCGAAGAGGAGTGCAGTGGAGGAAACACTGGGCGTAGACCAGCTGAGGAGTAGGCGATGGCAACGGAGGAGGCACCGGTAGGCAGTTAGGGGAAGGAAGACCGAGGAGGCAAAGAGCGGACACCGGCGGCGACTGCTGCCCGACTCCAACATCAGAACCTCCAGCGATAGTACGGCTCCTTCCGAGGAGCTCCAGGCCAGCATCCCCAGAACGAGAACCCACTCTAGTACACGCTCCAGCACACTCCCCATTACACCAAGAACGCACGAACCCCAGTGGCGGTGACGACGGCAGCTGCGACCGCGGCGGCGACGGCAGCGGCGGAGGCAGCTGCGGCGGTGACAGCAACGGCGGCGACAGGGGAGGAGAGACCGCGGCGGGGAGGGGTGGGGGGAGGGACTCCGCAGAGCCGCGAGAGTCAACAGACTCCTCGGCAGGGACA